ATCAGAGTTGATTATTACATCTGTCTACCTAATTGAATCTCAATGTGAACCTTTTGAATAAAACAAACCCACTTTGGGTCCTGTAGTTCCCATTTCGGAAACTGGAATTGTGCACGTTCCCATCCAATCATTCAAACAAATCAAAGTAATTCACTTCTGATTTCACCATTCCAGAGTAACGAAACTAAAACAGAGGGCTCTAAGAAAGTAAAAGTGAATCAAACACTAATTTTCTAAAAGAAAACAAAGAATTGTGCAAGAATTGAACAACCACGACAAAACCAAATTAAAGCAAGAAAGACATTAAGATTAATGCATTAAAGATATTACAATGTACGAAAGATTAAAAACTCAAAATGTACAAAAAGTAACCACTACAAAAAAAAACATGAATTACCCAATATGTTTAAAACAACCAAATTTCGTTGATAATAAATGTTTTTGGACAAATTATCAACTATCAGATAAATCCGTTAATAATAAAACTATTGGTAAATAACATTGTAAAATTGAATGAGAAAAAAAAGACAATATAGAGAATGAACTGTGCATTGTATTAAACTTTGCATTGTATTAAATTTTGAAATAAATGTGTAAAAACGTTACACTGAGTTCTCAAGGTTGCTTTGTACTCTTGAGTATCTTCAATGGTTGCCCTCTATACCGTAGGTCAAGAACTCCTACAAAGGTTATTTTGCACTTATTGTTATTGGACTCTTGCTACTTACCAATGTTGAACTCAGTATAATCGAAACTTCTCTCGCACACGAGTCTAAAAGGAAGAATTATTCTATGAAGAAGAAGAAATTGAAAGAAAGGAAAAAAAAATTTCACTATTTTTGTGTCTACTCTCAATTTTTCATGTCTACATTTTCTCATCACCGAAGACCCTGTTTTTTATAAAAGGGGAAAAACAAAACTAAATCTAACCCTAATTTGTATTTCAGAGGAAGAACAAAACTTCAGACCTAACCTTGCTCTCGATTTTGATTTACAGACTTCAAAAAGTAGCACGTCAAACCTTCTTGACTCAATCCTAGTCACGTGTGCTTATTGGTTCAGTAATTTCTAGCACCTTTGGTCCAGGTTTCAAGCTCTTCTTCTCTCACTCAAACTTAGCTCGCCTCAATACGGTTCCCACGACTCCTATCTTTGAAATGCACAAAAGTTGACGTCTAGTTAGGTTCACTGTTAACCCTTACTAAAGCTGTGTATTTTGATGGGGCCTGGTCCACTCTAAGCATTGATGGTCCAAAGGCTTAGTTGACCAAGGTCGACCCCTTTTAATCAGCGATTTTTCTACAAAACTTAAAATTAGACAAGGGTTAATGTAAAAAATTGCAAAACAAGAAACCTATCTCAGCAAAATTCACATTAAATTTTATTTTTATTCTGACTTTTCTAAAAGATAAAGACAATTTATTCAAAAGAGACTCTTAGGTATTAAAAACACAAAATTAATCACATTTTTACAAAATTACTATTTTTACATCTTAACTAAATTCTAACCTTATTCTAAAGATTTATAAACAAATAAATAAAAAAGTAGTTTTTATGAAAGAAAAAGAACAAAAACACCATAACCTATAAAGTTGGAAGGTAAAACTTATTTTGAATAGATTTTAAAATTATCTTTGCAATTTAGTGCTAGACGTTATTTGCAAGGATTAAACGGTCTTCAGATAATGTTGAACACTTCAGGATTTTTAGAAGTGTTTATGATGGCATACCCCCTAATCATGACTAAACACTTTCAAGTAGAATTGAAGTTATTTGTGGAAGTTAAGCCTAAACTCTCTCTCTTGGACCATCTTGGGACTATAAGGAGCTGCTAAAGTAGGAATAATTTTGGGCCTTGTATTTTGGACCAAGTAGTCTAGGATTTGTTTAGGCTTTGTATTATGAGTCAAGTAGTGTAGGATTTATTTTGGGCCTTGTATTTTGGGTCAAGTAGTGTAGGATTTTTGAACCACTTAGGTCAACAAAAATCAAGGCCCAATGTTGACCCAATATGGACATCCATAGTGAGTTTTGACCAAGTGGTCAAAGTTTTTAACCTAGCTTGGTGGACAAGAGTGTGGGACGTCCCACCAATTTGAGTATGGCCATGTGTCATGTTCTCATTGAAGAACATTTCCCATAATTAGTGGTCACATGTCACTCTAGGAATGAAGAGGATTTTCCATAGGTAGTGACCACATGTTCTTCTCCTATTGGAGAAGATTTTTGTTTTCGTCTCCAAGTTAGGTCAAGCTAGTGTTTTCAAGGTTTTGCTTCTGCATTTTAGAGACATATTTAGCTTATATATAGAGGTGTCCTCCATCTTGTATTTACTTTTGAATTTAAGTAAAGTTATGTTACCATTTGTCATAATACTCATCTTAGGTCATCAAAAGCTAGAGCATGCATCTGGTCTCCTCTAGCCACCTTCTTCTAGAGTTGGTCTAACCTTTCTAAGAGCACCATAAAATACCACTCCATCACCATTAAATCCTCAAGGTCCTAAGCCACCTTCTCTATATCCCTCCAAATCCGACATCCTTTGAACCTTTTCACCATAACTATAGCTTCTCTTTTAGCTTTGGCCTAACCTAGCTAAGGAGGTTGTTATCATTTGGTATCAAGAACTTTGGTTTTATAAGAGCTAAGTTTCTTGCTCCTTACTTATCCTTTAATTTTCGTGAGGTTAATGTTATTTCCTTAAATTTCTTGTTATGTTTTTTCTTTACTTGTATTTATCTTTTCATGGTTCTAGTTTCTTGTTTTCCTTTAGAACCATTTGACCTTTTGGCTTAGGTTTCTTGTTTGATTATGTGCTTTTAAATTTTTTCTGGGTCCTTTGTTCGTTTTGGTTTGGTCATATCACATATTTTGGGTCATTTTGATTTTCAAATCCATCTTTGTTGTCTAGAATCATGTTTAGTCCTTTTTAATGTCATTTCTTCTTAGTTTACCTTTTAATCCTTAAGGACAAGGATTACCTTAAGGAGGGAGGATTGATGCAGGATCACATATTAGTTTTAGAATAGGGAGGCATAAAAGTAGTTAGTTGTTAACGGTAACTGAACTATATAGCAGTTTCCGCATTAAGGGATATGTATTCTTCATTCTTTTGTCAGAAAATGCTCACTGTACACACTACAAAATTACAAAGTCAAATAGTGTGTAAAACTACATTATTCTGTCTAATATAGTATTTGAAGAAAACATAGTTCGTTTCCATTCAGTGATCAAATTTAAGGTTTCACATCCCAAGAAAGTACACATTCGATAATAAGCAAAACGTATTGACATTGTAGATATAAATTCATTTGGCCCCTAGACATATTCACTGCACTAAGTTTTCCTATATCAAATAGAAGATACAATAACTATACATGAAAAATAAGTCTTGGTTACATATTTTGTGTTCTTAACAATAATAAGGAAGAACCAATCTGCTTGAGGAACAGTGTAATTGTCAACATCTCAATGATAAACATTTCTCATACTTCACTCACCATCCCAGAGTTCTTCAATGTTCTTATAGGGACCATAGGTATCGTCAGTAAAAGATGTGCCCTTAATTAGCCTATCCTGCATGACCAAATTTCTTGTGTTAACTCAAAAAATCAAGCTTTAAAGCCACTTCTGGCATTACAATGCTATGGCACACAAGCATAATACAAGGTAGTTAAAGATGGTAAGGAATAGTTAACAGTATCAGCAAAATCAAGGGATATGGGAGGGTGGGAATCAAATGAATGAGGATCATGAGACAATTGAGGATTATTATGTAAAACTAGAAGCCACTCGTCTATAAATAGTTTTTGAAAACAGAAATTAAACACACCTTTGGTAAGGTTAATAAAAAATCTACCTGCTAAATTTGAAAAGTTTTTGAAAACTTTTCATTTGGCCACTAGACAAATTCATTTGGCCCCTAGACAAATTAGCCATTCGTCTTTAAAGCTAGAAAAAGTATTTGAAAACTTGCCTGCTTAATTTGAGAGAACTTGGCCATTAATTCTTCGGGAATAGACCAGTCAAAGACATCAAAGTTTTCCTTGATCCTGGACTCAGTATTACTTTTTGGCAGCACACTATGACCTGATTGCAATCCCCACCGAAGGGCCACTTGAGCTGGTGTCTTCCCCAGTTTCTCTGCAGTCTCTACGACAACAGGATTCTTAAGAATGTCACTTTTCAGATTCCCTGGTGAGCCTAGTGGAGAGTATCCCTGAAAATAACAAAAAATATGCTAATCACAAGATGATCAAATTGAATATGCAGAAATTGAAAGATACAAGAAAGAAAATTACAAAACCAGTGTCCTCAAAGATTGTAGAAATCAATCATCATAGCAAAAATCAGAGTTGATTATTACATCTGTCTACCTAATTGAATCTCAATGTGAACCTTTTGAATAAAACAAACCCACTTTGGGTCCTGTAGTTCCCATTTCGGAAACTGGAATTGTGCACGTTCCCATCCAATCATTCAAACAAATCAAAGTAATTCACTTCTGATTTCACCATTCCAGAGTAACGAAACTAAAACAGAGGGCTCTAAGAAAGTAAAAGTGAATCAAACACTAATTTACTAAAAGAAAACAAAGAATTGTGCAAGAATTGAACAACCACGACAAAACCAAATTAAAGCAAGAAAGACATTAAGATTAATGCATTAAAGATATTACAATGTACGAAAGATTAAAAACTCAAAATGTACAAAAAGTAACCACTACAAAAAAAAACATGAATTACCCAATATGTTGAAAACAACCAAATTTCGTTGATAATAAATGTTTTTGGACAAATTATCAACTATCAGATAAATCCGTTAATAATAAAACTATTGGTAAATAACATTGTAAAATTGAATGAGAAAAAAAAGACAATATAGAGAATGAACTGTGCATTGTATTAAATTTTGAAATAAATGTGCAAAAACGTTACACTGAGTTCTCAAGGTTGCTTTGTACTCTTGAGTATCTTCAATGGTTGCCCTCTATACCGTAGGTCAAGAACTCCTACAAAGGTTATTTTGCACTTATTGTTATTGGACTCTTGCTACTTACCAATGTTGAACTCAGTATAATCGAAACTTCTCTCGCACACGAGTCTAAAAGGAAGAATTATTCTATGAAGAAGAAGAAATGGAAAGAAAGGAAAAAAAAAATTCACTATTTTTGTGTCTACTCTCAATTTTTCATGTCTACATTTTCTCATCACCGAAGACCCTGTTTTATAGAAAAGGGGAAAAACAAAACTAAATCTAACCCTAATTTGTATTTCAGAGGAAGAACAAAACTTCAGACCTAACCTTGCTCTCGATTTTGATTTACAGACTTCAAAAAGTAGCACGTCAAACCTTCTTGACTCAATCCTAGTCACGTGTGCTTATTGGTTCAGTAATTTCTAGCACCTTTGGTCCAGGTTTCAAGCTCTTCTTCTCTCACTCAAACTTAGCTCGCCTCAATACGGTTCCCACGACTCCTATCTTTGAAATGCACAAAAGTTGACGTCTAGTTAGGTTCACTGTTAACCCTTACTAAAGCTGTGTATTTTGATGGGGCCTGGTCCACTCTAAGCATTGATGGTCCAAAGGCTTAGTTGACCAAGGTCGACCCCTTTTAATCAGCGATTTTTCTACAAAACTTAAAATTAGACAAGGGTTAATGTAAAAAATTGCAAAACAAGAAACCTATCTCAGCAAAATTCACATTAAATTTTATTTTTATTCTGACTTTTCTAAAAGATAAAGACAATTTATTCAAAAGAGACTCTTAGGTATTAAAAACACAAAATTAATCACATTTTTACAAAATTACTATTTTTACATCTTAACTAAATTCTAACCTGATTCTAAAGATTTATAAACAAATAAATAAAAAAGTAGTTTTTATGAAAGAAAAAGAACAAAAACACCATAACCTATAAAGTTGGAAGGTAAAACTTATTTTGAATAGATTTTAAAATTATCTTTGCAATTTAGTGCTAGACACTATTTGCAAGGATTAAACGTTCTTCAGATAATGTTGAACACTTCAGGATTTTTAGAAGTGTTTATGATGGCATACCCCCTAATCATGACTAAACACTTTCAAGTAGAATTGAAGTTATTTGTGGAAGTTAAGCCTAAACTCTCTCTCTTGGACCATCTTGGGACTATAAGGAGCTGCTAAAGTAGGAATAATTTTGGGCCTTGTATTTTGGACCAAGTAGTCTAGGATTTGTTTAGGCTTTGTATTATGAGTCAAGTAGTGTAGGATTTATTTTGGGCCTTGTATTTTGGGTCAAGTAGTGTAGGATTTTTGAACCACTTAGGTCAACAAAAATCAAGGCCCAATGTTGACCCAATATGGACATCCATAGTGAGTTTTGACCAAGTGGTCAAAGTTTTTAACCTAGCTTGGTGGACAAGAGTGTGGGACGTCCCACCAATTTGAGTATGGCCATGTGTCATGTTCTCATTGAAGAACATTTCCCATAATTAGTGGTCACATGTCACTCTAGGAATGAAGAGGATTTTCCATAGGTAGTGACCACATGTTCTTCTCCTATTGGAGAAGATTTTTGTTTTCGTCTCCAAGTTAGGTCAAGCTAGTGTTTTCAAGGTTTTGCTTCTGCATTTTAGAGACATATTTAGCTTATATATAGAGGTGTCCTCCATCTTGTATTTACTTTTGAATTTAAGTAAAGTTATGTTACCATTTGTCATAATACTCATCTTAGGTCATCAAAAGCTAGAGCATGCATCTGGTCTCCTCTAGCCACCTTCTTCTAGAGTTGGTCTAACCTTTCTAAGAGCACCATAAAATACCACTCCATCACCATTAAATCCTCAAGGTCCTAAGCCACCTTCTCTATATCCCTCCAAATCCGACATCCTTTGAACCTTTTCACCATAACTATAGCTTCTCTTTTAGCTTTGGCCTAACCTAGCTAAGGAGGTTGTTATCATTTGGTATCAAGAACTTTGGTTTTATAAGAGCTAAGTTTCTTGCTCCTTACTTATCCTTTAATTTTCGTGAGGTTAATGTTATTTCCTTAAATTTCTTGTTATGTTTTTTCTTTACTTGTATTTATCTTTTCATGGTTCTAGTTTCTTGTTTTCCTTTAGAACCATTTGACCTTTTGGCTTAGGTTTCTTGTTTGATTATGTGCTTTTAAATTTTTTCTGGGTCCTTTGTTCGTTTTGGTTTGGTCATATCACATATTTTGGGTCATTTTGATTTTCAAATCCATCTTTGTTGTCTAGAATCATGTTTAGTCCTTTTTAATGTCATTTCTTCTTAGTTTACCTTTTAATCCTTAAGGACAAGGATTACCTTAAGGAGGGAGGATTGATGCAGGATCACATATTAGTTTTAGAATAGGGAGGCATAAAAGTAGTTAGTTGTTAACGGTAACTGAACTATATAGCAGTTTCCGCATTAAGGGATATGTATTCTTCATTCTTTTGTCAGAAAATGCTCACTGTACACACTACAAAATTACAAAGTCAAATAGTGTGTAAAACTACATTATTCTGTCTAATATAGTATTTGAAGAAAACATAGTTCGTTTCCATTCAGTGATCAAATTTAAGGTTTCACATCCCAAGAAAGTACACATTCGATAATAAGCAAAACGTATTGACATTGTAGATATAAATTCATTTGGCCCCTAGACATATTCACTGCACTAAGTTTTCCTATATCAAATAGAAGATACAATAACAATACATGAAAAATAAGTCTTGGTTACATATTTTGTGTTCTTAACAATAATAAGGAAGAACCAATCTGCTTGAGGAACAGTGTAATTGTCAACATCTCAATGATAAACATTTCTCATACTTCACTCACCATCCCAGAGTTCTTCAATGTTCTTATAGGGACCATAGGTATCGTCAGTAAAAGATGTGCCCTTAATTAGCCTATCCTGCATGACCAAATTCCTTGTGTTAACTCAAAAAATCAAGCTTTAAAGCCACTTCTGGCATTACAATGCTATGGCACACAAGCATAATACAAGGTAGTTGAAGATGGTAAGGAATAGTTAAAAGTATCAGCAAAATCAAGGGTTTTGGGAGGGTGGGAATCAAATGAATGAGGATCATGAGACAATTGAGGATTATTATGTAAAACTAGAAGCCACTCGTCTATAAATAGTTTTTGAAAACAGAAATTAAACACACCTTTGGTAAGGTTAATAAAAAATCTACCTGCTAAATTTGAAAAGTTTTTGAAAACTTTTCATTTGGCCACTAGACAAATTCATTTGGCCCCTAGACAAATTAGCCATTCGTCTTTAAAGCTAGAAAAAGTATTTGAAAACTTGCCTGCTTAATTTGAGAGAACTTGGCCATTAATTCTTCGGGAATAGACCAGTCAAAGACATCAAAGTTTTCCTTGATCCTGGACTCAGTATTACTCTTTGGCAGCACACTATGACCTGATTGCAATCCCCACCGAAGGGCCACTTGAGCTGGTGTCTTCCCCAGTTTCTCTGCAGTCTCTACGACAACAGGATTCTTAAGAATCTCACTTTTCAGATTCCCTGGTGAGCCTAGTGGAGAGTATCCCTGAAAATAAATTTGTCATATATACAAACAGTTAGAATGCAAATATCAGAAGAATAAAGAATGGTTGTTGAGTATAAACCAGATTCATTTTCAACTAGCCCTGTAGACAATTTCGCCAAAAGTGATCATTTTCTTTTCAAGTGATAGTTTATAGGAATAACATGCTTTTATTTAGGTGAAAATACCAAGAAATATGTATCACACATTCCATACTTACTGATATATGTATTCCTTTGGATTCACAAAATGCATGCAACTGTGGCTGCTGCCATCCTGGGTGCAATTCCACTTGGTTAACAGAAGGAGGCACTCTTGCTACATCCAACAAATCTTGAAGCTTCTTTGAAGAGAAATTGCTCACTCCTATGGCTTTAGCCTTGCCAGAGTCATAGAATGCCTCCATTGCTCTCCATGTGCCAGGAATGTCTGTTTGTTCTAGATATTCTCTCTTGAATCCAACTGCTCCACTTTTCGTGCGGACTGGCCAGTGGATCTACAGCATAAATCATTTTTGTTTGTATGAAGGAATAGACTCAAGAGAATACTGAATGAACAGGAATGAACCCCAGATAACCAGAGTCAGCAGCATTTCATTAATGAAACCATGGAACTTTGTTCAATTGAGAAAGCCTTATTTATAAAATAATGCTCACATTGTGCTTTTGGACCCTCTTTTTCCAAGAGACAATATCCTATCGGTTGAAATCAATTTTGTTATGGTATTATTAGGTAAGCTCTATATAAGTGAGTTAAGTTTAAACTCACTTTTTAATACTGTATCAGAGTCTATAACAATAAAATTAGTTAAACTTATAGTATCACCCGCAATTAGATCACTTATAGGATCTAGCCTCACATATAAGATGTATATATTTCTGAACAAAAGGATGTGTTAAAAATTCTACATCAACTAAAAATAAAACCAAACTTACAATCTCTAAGTGAGCTCAATTCTCACCTTAAAGGTCAGATTTGAGGGAATGATTTAAGTCCAAACACACTTTCCAATAAAAAGATATCAATAGGTGTATTGCTAGTTTGCTACACTTCTTTAATTTGAATGTAGCAGTTAATTTTCACCCAAATCGCCAACCCAAATTCAAATATCAGTAAACATAATGCAAGCTTACCAGATAGAGATCAACGTAGTCAAGTTGCAAATCGTGTAATGTTCTATCCAAAGCTTTTGGTACATCTTCTGGAGCATGATCGTTACACCTGAAAATATAGCCAACAAAGCAAACGATCTCCTCTCAGCGACCAAACACACAATCTTTTCCAACATTCTCAAAATAGAACGCAACTTTCAAAGGACAGCAGACCAGAGTTTGGAAGTTATCCATAAGTCCTCACGCTTCACCACACCATCATCAAAAATCTTCTTAAGTGCAGAACCTATCTGTAAAAACCGATATTCAGAATAAAAGGTCAATTAGCTTCCCAAATTGACTGAGAGAGAGCAAAGGAAATGTTACAAAATCAATAATTCAAAAGATAAAATAAATGAACCCTGAATTATAGAAGTTATCAATTTGAATTATTATTACCTCTGCTTGATTGTCATAAACTTGAGCACAGTCAATGTGCCTGTATCCAACCTGAACAACGGTGACCCGACACTAAAATCAGTTATCACTCTCACATAGGAAAAATTGAAAGAACAAAAAGGTTCCCAAATCAGATAAATCTAAAAACCCCATGCTAAATTTTATTTCTCTAGTAATATAAAATAACACCACTATAAAAATTATCATTTCACAGAGCCTCATTTCTTTCACTTCGAATGTAATCCGTGGTAAAAACAACTAACACCATAGGACAAAATGAAGACACAAAATGTTGACAAGTTATTCCATTAACAAGAGACGTGGATATGTTGTTAACACTAGACCAGTTAAATAAGTATACACAAATCTATCCATTGAGTAACACAAATTGGGTAGATTGTACTATTGAACAAGGGGAAAAAAATTAATTGGAATAAAGTTTTACTTACCTCAATGGCTGTGGTGAGAGTTTTTGCTACAATTCCTGGTTCGGCTTGCCATGTGCCTAACCCAACAGAAGGAATCTTGGCCCCTGTGTTCAACTCAAAGAATTGAATTAACTTGGCCATTTTTTTTCTCAATAATGATGATCACGCTGAAAAATATCCTAACACTAGTTATGGGTAGTTTCACTATGTTCTGAGTTTGATGCAATTTATGTATTTATAGGCAAAAACATGAACATGAAGCAGTGAAGGGCAGACAGTCTGCAGTTGGGTGAATTAGATTTGCTGTCGTAAGTTTTATTATTATCCCGTGCAATCAGACAAGAAGAGTCGTTGGATGAGAATCTACGGTTCAGGTTTTGTGTTGTGTAGTGTATGTGAACCGTGGGATGGTTATTAATGGTTTGAATGAAGTGAGTGTGGGAATAGGAGAAAGACGTAACTGTAGGGAGTGAAGACTCTGGATAGCGTAAAGCTGATATATGCACACACGTCATATAGGAAGTGAGAAAAATCAGTGTTAATAGTGAAAAAGGCACGCCTTTAATATGCACAAAACGGTCACCAGTTTCGTACTTGTTATTCAAGTTCAAAATGACTTGTATTTTTAAGACGTCGATGGATAAATCTGTGAATAAAATAAATATATTTTATATAAAATTAAAGAATAAATAGTTAATTTATTAAAAATTAAAACTAAAAGTTTCTCAATATGAATAGATATTACTTATATTATTATAAAAAGAGGATTTCTTTTTTTCGTACAGATTTTGTTTTTTATTTTATTTGTAAATTAGAATAATTATTTTATCAATTTCACTCTTCAAATGATTTCTTTTAAATTTAATAATTTTTATTTGATTTTTTATTTTCTAAATTTTAATTATTCTTTTAAAATAAAATAATTATTTATGATAAAAAGTTATCTAAAAGAAACTAAAAATTACCTACAATAAAATTATAAAAATTATTTAATTTTATTTTGTTGATTATACTAATAATAATATTATTATTATGTTTTATGTTAAAAAAAATGTGAATACATGTGTGCATACAATTAGCACATATCTTTCTACTAGTTATTATAAATAAAATGAATAAATATGTTGTTGGTCATTTTAGTTTTAAAAATTGGAATTAGTTACTCATTAATATTTTAGACTAATTTAAGTTTTCATTTTTAAAAATACGTATGAATTTAGTTTTTTTAATCAAATTTTGTTAAGTTTATTTAATGTTTCATATAAAATCTCGGATAAATAAAGGTCTAAAAAATAAAGTAGTTTTGAGATTTTGAATTTTTATTTGAAAATTATTGTTCTTTTGTAACAAATATTAAAGAATTTCGCTAAAACCATAACGTAATTAAAATTTTCCTTTCAATATAGATATTACAATTTTCAATATTAACTATCCAAATCCAACATGAAAATAAATAGCTTAATACAAATCTTTAATCCCTTTCACATATACATAAAGACTTTAATCAAACTCGTACTGCAAACCCCTCTCTCTCTCTCTCGTAAATTACATTGCTTCAATATCATCTGCATACCTATTTGAGCTCCCATATAACACACATTATACGATCATCGCCATAGGCACAAACAACACAAACAAATATATGGGTGAGTGATACGCTGTCGTTGAAGCTATCAAATTAATACTACTTTTTAAGGCAACTCCAATATTGTTAAGTAGTATTCAAGAAAGTAGATAGGGTTAAAGTAAAATTGAGTCGTCTCCCAATGAATATGGAATTTCTTTTCAATATTTGACTTTCACTAGTGCAATCAAGGGAAATGACATCGGCTATTTTAGCTTATAGGCACCGGTTCTGCAACCGAGGCATATATAGGCGAAGTAAAAAGAGTAGGTTTTTTCCCTAGGTTCGGGACCGAAGCATAAGGGTTCAGATTCTAGCTCGGTTCACAGACAACCGAGGCTGAGTGTTTTTATTTTATTTTTTATTTTTAGTTCCAAATGGCACATCCATTTGTCCAGACCGCAAATGGACGATATGCAATTTTGCTATATTGGATATTAGAAACTTCTTTGATTGCGCCGAGTAGAAAAATCACTGTCATCTTCATCTTTGATGAAGGTTTTAAATCTGGCGAGGCCACCACTTCCACTCCCAACTTTGACAATAAATGTAATTGTGCTTCCTTTTCCAAGGCCCTCGCTCTCAATCCATATGTGACCTCCCATGAGGTTTACAAATTTGAATCAATTTTGTGGAGGAGTCAGACTTAATAGATGAAAGACAATCATTATTTACGCTTATTGTAATAAAATCCATTTAGCATATTGAGAATTGAGAGACTGCAACAAATTCAAAATACTATTCGATGATGTTTCCCCCTACCTTTTACAAATTGCAAGCCCAAGACCTGCACCACTACTAGAGGAGGATTGATATTCCTGTAGAACAGAGAAACCTGTAGAATATAAGAAGAGGATGATTGTGCGTGAATCGAAACCTATAGAACAGAGAAACCCAAAAAACCCCCAAACCTATTACCTTACCTACGTCCCCGGCAAGTATTTCCATCAGCGTCACATCTCCTGACTCGCCGCCCAATCTCGCTGGAGAGAATCACAGCTCATCAATCTCCTCTACTCAGAGCCGTCGCGCTGCGTTTCATCGCCGCTTCCACCTTCACGCCCTACCACCTACGTCGTCAGCGAGTATTGCCATCAGCGTCATAGCTTCTGACTCGCCGCCCAATCTCGCCGAAGAGAATCACAGCTCCTCGATCTCCTCTACTTGGAGCCGCCGCGCCGTGTTTCATTGTCGCTTCCTCCTTCACACCTTGCCAGTAAGTCGACGTCTTTGACAACGACGGTTGGTGGGTGGACGAGATCTCCATGACAAATGTCGTCTGGCAGCGCCTTACCACCACGCAACTGCTAAATTCAGAAACTTTCATTTAAATAAACGAATCTGCAGTGAAGAGGGGGAATGCGAGCAGCAAGGGAGGCGAGCAGTGGTGGAGAACGTGAGCAGTGGTGACGGGGTGCAACGGAGGAGGGGCGACCACGGCGAGGGAGGCGTGACGAACGTGGCGGTGGAGACGCGAGCAGTGGTGGAGATTGAGTAGTAGTGGTGGAGAGCAAAGTGCAGAGAAAGAAGAAAACTCTTCGAGTTTACGCGGGCAGTAGCACCCTAAAGGTTTCAGCACCCAAAATAATTAAGATTATATGTCTCGGTTCCCTAGGCCACCTAGGCAGTAGCACCTTGACCAAAAAGGTGTCAGAGGCTACGTTTTACTTTATGCTTTTTTTTAGCGTTATGTGTTTTGTTTTTTTCTCATAACTGAGTTAGTAGCTCTATTTCCAAAAAGGTGTGATATGAAAAGTCAGAATAAAGTCAAATCTGAAGGGTTATATGTCTCGGGTGGTTATTTAACCGAGGTAATAAAGCTATTATGCCTCGGTTCTCTTGAAACCGCAGCCTATAAGTTCGCTAAAATTGCAAAACTGCCACCGCATTTTTATATGCTTTGGTTTTCTATAAACTAAGACGTATTAGCCGTGTTAGTATCCCAATTTTGCACTAGTGTTTTATGAACATTATGCAATGCTCAAGAATAAAAGTGAGAAACTATGCTAATGAAGTTAATGTTTGAGAAATGTTTGAAGAACAAAGAGGAAACTTAGAAACAATTATGATGAAATAGGCTAATTCCACTATTTTTTCAAGATAGATTCATCATCGATTATCTATAGATCATTGTTCAATTGATTATTGTTCAAGTTTAAAATTAATTAAAGTACATTCTTAATTAATTTGATGGCGATCATGCAGTTAACCAAAGTAGATTCTCAATCAAATGCAAGACCTTTCTAGATTATTCACAATTAATTCAATCAAAGTATATCCTCAGTCAAATTCTATTGTATTTAATCATGTCTATTCTTAAATCTCCTAACCAAATTAAAAGTTAATTAATCAAAGTAAATTCTCAATTAATTATAGTTGAAATTAATACCTTTTGATAATATCTTTCCTAGATTCAAAAAGATTCGACAAATATTATCTTTTGATATTCATTGATATAGTTAAATAAGGTAATTATTTAACAATATCAAATAAAATATCTTAAGATATATTTTCTCCAAATTATCTTTTAAAATATCTAACAGATTTAAACTTGCCCAAAATTACATTTCAACCCTTTTTATTTTATTCAAAAATTGCACAGAAGTTCAGAAATCTTCCTCTAATTGCACTTTAGTCATCTCTTTCTTTTTAAAATTGCATAGGAGCCCTCAGTTGACCAGATTGGACAAGCTTTGACCATTCAATTTCATGCTTTTAAATGAATAAAATTCTAATTTTGGTTGCACAAATAAACTTTAGAACATCCAAAATAATTTATGCAAATAAGAATCACATTTTAAGCATCTTTAATTCTCAAACCCAATAAATCCAATCGTCACAAATTATCTTTAAATCAATCATTTAAGCACAAGAATCTTATAAAAAATTTGAATTTTAAAACATAAATGTGAACATAAATATGCATTCATCAGTGAGCTCTCATAATCAATCTTTAAACACCAACAAAACACTTATATGTCAGATATTAAACCTTTTCACAATCCTATCACATCAAATAGTATAACCACATAGTAAGGCTATGACAATCAATACATTGACAAACCATACATCCTTGTATAAGGAACAATGATCAACCTATTAGTTCTACACAACATTTCCACTAAAGGCAACCCATGCCAATACAGATCGGCAATCAGAGGTCCCTCGGGAATTTCCTCTTGCTCTTTTTGTACAGGATGATACAGACTTCTCGCAAGAGGATTTCCGCTTACCTCCACTCTTACGAGGAGAAACCTTAGAAGCAGTGTTGACCGTACGGGAAGGAATGGTGGACTTAGAGATTGGAGGACGAGCGACAACAGAAGTAGCTTCTCCGGTCTTCTAGAGCTCTTCTTTACAATGAGCCATCATTAACATAAAAGCTTTACCTTTTTCCAAAGCATGAAAAAGATATGCGGCACAAAAGCAAATTTAGATAAACAAACTTAAGGAAGCTTACCAAACACTTTAGTACATAGAGTGTGGGAACCCAAGAAGCCGATGAGCGTCCGGGAAGAGGTCTTTTGAGGTAGATGATCAAGCTAACTTACCGCGTCAAGTTCATCCGGA